AAAGAAATATATTAATTTCTAAATATATTTAATTTACAATTAAATAAATAATAATAATAAATCAAAATCTATGTATTTTTTTACTTTACATTTTTAATTTACAAAAGCCTTTTGTAAATTAAAAATAAAAACACAATTATATTTAATAGAGTGACTCAGTGGCATCCGGCTATTTAAAAAATTAAATAAATTAAAAAAAATAAATAAAATTAAAAAAATAAATCGAAATCGATTTATTTTTTTAATTTACAAATGCCTTTTGTAAATTAAAAAAAATTAAATAAAATTAAAAAAATAAATCAAAATCTATTCAATTTTTAATTTACAAAAGCCTTTTGTAAATTTAAATAAAAAAAATACATCAAAATCTATTTATTTTCTTAATTTACAAAAGCCTTTTGTACATTAAAAAAATAAATTAATTAAAAAAAATATATACACGTCGATTTAATTTATTTAATTTATTTAATTTTATTTAATTTTTTAAATAGCCAAATCCACAAACAAAAAGAAATATTTTAACTTTTAAATATATTTAAGTTACAATTTGAAAAATTGAATAAATTAAATAAATCTTTAAAAAAAAATAAATAAAACATCAAAATCTATCAATTTTTAATTTACAAATGCTTTTTGCAATAAATATTTGAATTGAAAATTAAATCATTTGTGTTTGTTTCTTTTTACGAAATGATACCTAAAGGACCCTCGATCATATATATATACATATACATATTCATATAATATACATGCATAATATCAATTAGTATCATACATGTGTATAACATGTATATTTGTATCCCTCTGAGGCTGCCCGGAACTCGACGCCCAGCATCCTTGCTGCACTTAGTGTGGGGTGGTAGATGAGCCTGAGACGAGGGACTCAAACGTGGCCAGAAGTTGACATGCCCAGGTCACAGTCAGCTCTGCATATATTGGATTCAACATATTAGCATGAGGGCCGGCCTAACAGAAATATAACGGTAAAAACTGATGCCCATATAATGTTATGCTTTAGCAGTGCCAGGGTCTAAATTTCCTGGGAAAGGAGCTTGACATGTCTCATGCATTTTGTGCCTGACTTGCCTGCAACAGTGGACCCCTTCGGTTGTCGGTCTGTGGGTGGAACTTGGACATGGTTTCATCCAGTTTTGCGTCCATCTATATACATACAGTATCTCTCACTATATACAGCATCTCATATATCATGTTTTAATCATATCATGTTTTCATCTATATACAGTATCTCTCACTGTGATCTGCTTTTTTGAGGTGTGAGTTCTACAGGGAAGGCCTTGGGCATCGCAGCTGGGCAGAACCACCGAATCCGCTCATCGCACTCATCGTCCGCCGCTGTGCCTGAGATGAGGTGCTGGCGCTTTTCGCTGGAAGTCTCGCGGGAGTTCAGAGTGTGCCTCAGGTTCTGATGGGGAATGTCCAAGCTGAGTGGGCCATTGGGTTTAAGGACCGGAAAATCAACACCTCCTTCGGAACCTTTTTCAATTCTTCCTCAATCCTGTGACGGGATAGCAGCATGGAGAAGCACCACTCACAGCATCTCACAGAACTGTGTCTTTGTTTGACGCCCGTAGCAGCATTGAATTGAATTTATGGACTCAGTTACTAAGTTGAGTCTTTTCTTGGGACACTGATACTTCTGAAAAGATGCAAATCATGTGACAAAGAAACGGAACATTATCTGTTTTTGTTGTGCTTGCTTGAGGTTCCTGCAACTTTGTACAATCAGCGACATCCAGAGGCTCGTCCGACGGTGGTTGTCTTCCCGCAATGCCTTGGGTGTCTCGACGCCAAAGCAGGGTGCACGAAGCTCAGACACACCCACACACCCCGCCCCACAAGTATACACAATGGCTATCTCACTCAATATGGTAACTCTAGGATATCCAGAGTTGCAACAAGTATGAAGTTGTCCTAGCTTTGCTTTGGCTTCCAAAGTCTGTCCAGTTCGATGATGGTTCAAATTGAAACCTTCCAGAGATGTTCAGACATGTGACAAGTTCGCTTTGCAATGCAATGCTGGAAGTTGCTTCAACCCTTTTTTTTCCTCTGGACAAACATTCAGCTTCACAGGGATCTTCTTTCGGTCTTGGGCCATTTTTGATTGGATTTTTCGATCAATCAGACGGATGATTGATGGGATGCTGTAGGCCGCCAGGAAGAGTACAAAGGTCTTTGTTGCGTGTGCCAAGGATTTACATTTGTTCAAGCTTTATTTACCTCTTGTACGCTGCTGTGGCGCGTGCATCTGGTTGGTCAATACCGCATTCGGCGCCTGGATTGCACAGTAGCCTTTTCGTGGAGTTGGACTTGAGGTTGGACCGTTCTCATGTTTGCCGTGCAAGCAAACTACATATTGAAAGGCTACATACATGTAACAACGTAACGTTGTGCTTCAACCTTCCACATATCGACCTACATACCTTGTACTGGTGCCTTGGCGTCGGCGTTTGATACTCGGCGTGGGCGCATGATCTTGTGCCGATGCCCTCCAGCAGCCGACGTAAGCCGCTGTGTCCAGTGACGCGTAAGCTGTCCACGGCAGCCGAGCATTGTAAGCAACTGTCGCTTTTCATGGGTTGGATTCTCAGGCTAGCACACATGACCCGGACTGACCCAAGAGAAACAGAATTGGCAAAACAACATAAAACAAAGTCCTGTAACATCTGTAACGTTGCCGGTAGTTGTGAACGCTTTGACCAGCACAAGTCCCTCTTGACATATTCTAAGTTGCTTAGAGGTTGGGCATTTGCGCCCCCGACTGTCCTGTCAACCTCGGTTGATCTGCTCCGGCTTCGCACCGTTCTTGACGTCCAAGTCAGTACCCCAAAGTGCTAAGCCCCCCCAAGTCCGGAGGCAATGGATTTTGGCATGCGACTGGGGCCGTCATGTGTTTTCAATTGTTTTCATATTAGTCCGTTCTGAGGCAATCCGACCACCTTACTTTAGTGGCTGCATATGGGCCATTGGCTTCTCGTTCATGATCGCACCTTGGTCAATGAGCTGGCGGTTGATTCGCATCCCGTGCCTTTCTGCGCTGATGTTGCCAAGACTGATCGGTGAAGGCGGTATGGGTCTTTTCGGTCTGAAGATGTCACTGGAGTCCATCGATCGACCGATGATGCCGATGATGCGCACAGGTTCAGTGGAAAGTTAGCTTTCGAACTTTTTCCAATTAATCCCAGAACCACCCATCCTTCCATTGGTTGCCTAAGGGAACCCCTATTTTTCTGGGATCTTTTTCAGTTGTTTTCCGTTTTTTTCTTTTTCACGCTTTTTTCACCTACTGCTTTTGTTGTTTGTTTTTGCTTTTGCTTCTGCTTTTGCTCTTTGTTTCTGCTTTTGCTTTTGCTTCTGCTTTTGCTTTTTGCTTTTGGCCTTTGCTTCTGCATTTGCTTTTGCTTTTTGCTTTTGCTTTTTGCTTTTCCTTCTGCTTTTGCTTTTGGCTTCTGCCTTTGCTTTTGCTTCTTCTTTTGCTTATGCTGACTATCTTCTTACAAAGTTGGATGATAAGACCTTCACCTTGAGCTTTGACACCCAATTGCACCCAAGAAACGAAGCAGCCCAGCTCTGTCTATATTTGATTTGCATTGCGCTGCTTTTTTTAGTTGCCACTACTGTCCACCACCCCTACTATTTCTAATACCTCTATCACTTGGACCACCCCGCTACGAGTCTTACCACAGTTACCACAACTACTATTTTCTTTGCGTTGACGCTGCCACAAAGGTGGATTTCTACTTTGCTTAGCCCAAAAAGAAACCCGAAACCACTGAAACCCAAAGACAACCGCAGAAAAGTCCCTATTATAGTTCCTCTCTCCTCCTACTTCTCCTTCGTTAAGTGGGATGCCTTTTCCGGAAGAACGCCTAAAGAAACCCTAAAGACAAGAAACCGAGCCCACAGAAACCCGAAACCAGTGAAGCTAAAGACAACCGCAAAGAAGTCCCTAGTAAGTGGAATACCCTTTCTGTTCCCTCCCTTTGTCACTGTCACGCTGGCTTTGGTGCTTCGTCCCCTGCCCTTTCTGCTGCTCCTAGTGCTTGTAAGGCACTCCCAGAAGAAGCAAAAGCACAAACAAACAAATTACCGGACAAAATCTGAGAAAAAAACATCCGGAAAACATATCCATCCTTGCGGAACCCCTATTTTTCCGGGCTTTTTGTTTCTGCGGAACCTAAAGAAACCGAGCCCAAAGAAACCCGAAACCAGTGAAGCTAAAGACAACCGCAAAGAAGTCCCTAGTAAGTGGAATACCTTTTCTGTTCCCTCCCTTTGTCACTGTCACGCTGGCTTTGGTATGCTTTGGTGCTTCGTCCCCTGCCCTTTCTGCTGCTCCTAGTGCTTGTAAAGCATTCCCAGCAGAAGCAAAAGCCAAAACAGTAGGGGAAAAAGCGTGAAACAAATTACCGGAAAAAATCTGAGAAAAAGATAGGAAACATATCAATCCTTGCCTAAGAAAAGAGAGCCCATAATCTCGAAACAGATTGGCTTCAGCTTTGGGTGAGAGGTAGGGCCCTCTCCGACTCTTTGGTCCTTTCTGCGCCATGTTCCTTTGGCGTAGCAATAAGACCTTGGCTGCGAGGAGTCCTTTTGGCTGCAATCCTCATAGTCAGGGATGGGTCCACATAGCCCACAGGAACTGCTCACAGGATCGACCATCAGTATTACTATTACAGTAACCCAAAAATCGCTTCGAACATGCACAGAAAACGTCACAAGAGGTTCAAAAGGAACATACAGTACCCCTCTTGATGAATACATACCCCATGTCAATCCCGATTCCTTCGCAGACGGAAGCTTCCATATGCCCAACAGAAGCCCGCCACCCGGTGGGGTCCGGCACCGTCCGGCACTGGGCACCGTCAGGTCGGTATCTCGATCCTGGGCACCTCGGTGGAAACACCGGCTGATCCCAGCAACGACGGGCTTGAGTTTGGCAGGAATGGAACACCACAAGAAAGGGGGCCTCAAAAAAGATTCTCTTTTCTTTTGATGTTCCTTTTCAGAGATATTCCAACATCACTGAATGGCGTGTGACATCGTGTGACTAGCTTGTAAGGCTTTGAAGCTTTGGTGAAGTCGTAAAGTGCGCGTGGGACAGTCTGTTTCTTTGAGTGATGGCTTTAGGGAGGAACAAGAAGGCGCTTGGTTTGCCTTTTTCCTTGCCTTTTTTTAAGAGGGTGCCATTTCGTTGAACCAAACCCATCGAATAGCGTGGAAAACACTGCGTTTTATATATTGGGCTCTCTGATGAAGTGGTTTTGGTATGTGTTTTTAGTAGCAAGGAATTAGAAGGTGCTTGGGATGGGCTTTCCTCTCAAATGTGCAGTGTACTGACGCTTGTCCTTATGTTGTCCTTGAGGCTTCTCGATTGGTTATACCCTGGATGCCGTGGGACCTATTGTGGTTGCCAGCATGCTTTCAATATTTGTGCCACATGGCAGCATTCTCAAGGATGTAAAGATTATACGCAGTTAAAGAATGAGTAGAGGAAGACTGACCAAAGCCCATGCCTACTGTTAAGATGGAACAGCTGCTTATATTTGCAATGGAGGAGTGACTATCAGATGCAGTTGGATTTCGCACCATTTGGCAGAGATATGCCATATGAATTACTTAATAGAATGCCGTCAATAGCAGCATGCCCATGCACACAACTTGGAACGCCTGGGAACACCGCCCTGGGAGGTTCAAAGAGATGACTCAAGGAAAGCAACTGATGCTGTTGGGTTCTCAGTGGCCGACACGTTTTGCTGAAGTGTTGTTGTTGCTGCCAAGTTTGCAATCATTTCGCATCGTCATGGTACCAAACATAATGCTCAGAGTCTTTGCCAGTGCACTTGGTGCATGTTCTGTTCTCAAACAGGGATTTGGCACAAGCTGATAGCTGTTTGCCTTTGCACTTTGGACTGCTTGGTAGAATTGTATATTGTGCGTTGGTACCATTGCGCATCATGCCGTCTCAAACTGGTGGTGGCTGGTTTGCTTTTGCAGATGCGGCCCCTATGAATTCTTCCATTTGTGGTCAGTTTCCAACCCTTGGCTCCTCCAGATCAAACTCGGACTGCTGCCTGCGAACCACCCGTTGCTGCCGGCTGTTCTGAGGTACTGGGGCTCCTTCACCTTGCAACTGGCCGGTGTGCTCCTGATGACTTTCTTCAGTGAGCACAAGTAGCGACGGCGATGCTCAGTGATTGGCTTAGGGACACAGGTAACTGCTTGCAACACGCAGATTAACGCTGACATACGCTTTCATTGTAAGCCAGAAGTTGTCTTGGGTCACTGCCCCACTCTTAGCCTACTCAACAAAGACCTCACGCCCAAGAAAGAACTCAACTTGACCTGGGAAATACATCGGAAAATGTCTGCAATTGACAAATTGTTTTCGTTCCTGCTTGTGAAGTTGTTTTTACACGGCAAAGAAGAGAGTCGGCGTCACAGACACACGGATTTTCGGAAGCCTTTGGATTTGTGGAGAGGATGCAAAGACCATCATCGATTCAATTCGGGCATTGAGGGAGGTGCTAATTTGGCGTCTTCCAAGCCATTCAGAAAAGGTTCCTGCCTTTAGCGGTGACCTGCCCAAAGACTGTCAACAACTTTCACTCTTGCTGCGATAAAAGAAAAGAGCTCGCATTTTGTCCAGCATTGTATGTGGATGGCAAAATTGCCAGCTCGCACACTGCAGCTTCTCTGTGAATTTGGGACTTCTAACTTATAACTAATAACGACTTTGTCACCAAACGACTTTGTCACCACAGCGTAGCGTTGCAGGCCGGCCACTGAGGGGAGCTCAAATCAATGGCCACTTGGAGCAAACTCGCCGGATTTGATGACTTCTAGGGGAAGCAAACCCAAATGGCCATGATTCAAAGGATCGTTGAAACCCATCGAATTATTCTCAGTCGAGTGATCAACATGAGTTCGTTGTCACTGAGGGGAGATTTGGAGATCAAACAGCTTTGCCCCATCCATGATCAAAGGATCTTTAGATCATATCACCGTGTTCTACTGGCAGATCTTCACTTCTTGGGCTCTTAACGAATCTTGCCTTCAGGAAAATGGCTCAAGAAGAGGTCGTGTCGGTCTCACAAGTCGTCCGAGGCTCGCTCGCGACTCGCCACCGGTCCGGCATCCTGAGGCCCGAGCCGTGCACGGCCGCACTTTGCAGAGGTCTTGGGGCCAGAGGCTCATCAACTTCACCAGCTGCCACGACAACTGCGGATGCATCCGGACACCCGGCAACGAATTTTGTTGGTAGTTCACGATTTTGCTGTGCCAACTCCTGGCTAGCGGCTAGAGCTTGAGTGGAGGAGTTGATGTTGGAAGGTTTCAAGTATAGGCCAGTATAGGTATCATCCTGAAGCGTTTGAAGGAATTAATTGATCCTATCACTTAGATTTGGGGGCCACCAATACGAATTGATGCGATAGGCCAGGATGGCCAAGAGCTCCGCTCAGGAGCTGATCGGCGAGATCGTCGAGGTGATCGACTCTTCAACGGACTGAATCGAGCCGTCCATCATTGAAACCAACACATCCTGCAACGTACAACATGCTTTTACAATCAGTTTAAACATGTTTTAACATGTGACATAGTTGGTGACCTACTCTCACAGTTACAAGTAGAACTGCACCGACATGCCGCTTCACTTCAATTCCAGTGATCTTTTGATGAGCACACCAGGATGGGGAGGTGACCTGGCTCCACCTGCACGAGAGCTTTGGCAGTGTGCGTTTGAAAGAAGGCGATGTCAGGCGAGGCTTCTGAGCGCTGGCAGGGCCCTGCTGAAGACCAGCTGCCAGGGCCCTTGAGTGGATCGTGTCATCCTGTGTTCTGTGTGCTACACCCTCATGATCCCTTATGGTTTGAACATGCTTGAACTGTGCCAAAAGTCCCACTTACTGTAACGCTCGACTGGCAGCCTTAAAATGAATGGGTTTCGACGACCTCCAAGTGGAAGATTTAAGGGGTCCCTAACGCTATGTCGATGCACTATCAAAGGGTTCTCATTCAATATTTGTTTCAACGCCCCAGGCATTAGCTTCTACAATGATTCCACAAAATTTGTTAAATGTTTTTTGGGTTTGTTGGAAGTTGCTCATGGACGTCCCTTGGCTCAATTTGCCATCGAGCCGAGACGTTGGAAGATAATGAAATCATGTTGAGTTGTTGGGGTGCTCTTTGTGTTGCATCATCAATAGCACCCTATGTTCTTATGTTTTTTAAATATCATTCCAGGATTTTGCGCATGTCTTTTCTGGCGGTACTGCACTTGTAAGTTGCCGGTGATTGTCAGGCAAACCGTTCCGAACGCCAGTTAGATCATTTCTGACTATTGATTACACAGCTTCGTTTTTCCTGTCCTCGGAGTCAAACGAGACCACCATTGCGCTGGTATGTTTTGCTTCAGGATGTGCCAGGAGCAGCAAGGCATCGCGGCATGCACTGACAACACTGACAATACTACTTTGCTGATTTTTACTGTTCCTATGAAGTCAAGTCTTTTTACACGTTTGTTTCGTTCCATGTGTCCAGATCCGTTTGGCATCGTTGCAACCTAAAGTATACAAGTTGATACAAGGATACTGCTGTATGGTAGGAGGCACCAAAGTGCTCATAACAGTTTAATGCGTCTTCTATGAACATGTGTGTTGCCTGAATCCATTGACAGCGTTGGCGGTCGTTTACACTCTGCAGATGCATGATGCAAGCACTGCCAGATTGCAAACTAGAACTTCCACTGTTTGTGTGGTGATTGGGCCTTCAGATTCACATTTACATTTTATGTGCTGTGTGCATCATGTGCTGCAAATAGTTCACTAAGCACATGCTTATGAGGGTAATGAACAAGTATGGATGCATTTGATACAAACGCAGCAAAGCACACCCTATAGTCTGAAACATGCTTTATGATGTTGCGGTGATGCAATATTCGCTGATAACGGCCTTCGACAATTGCACGAAGCATTTGTGTCCACTGAGGAAAATGCACTTCACTGCGAAGCACATGCGAAAACAACAGCTCTAAAATGCTATGTCATGTCAATACTTAAGACCCCGACAGAAGGAGAAAGCTTCCTGTCGGCCTGAGCCTTATGATGCGATTGGGTCGAAACCCAAGGTTCGTTCTTCTATGGGGCTCTGAGCAAAGTGGCTCTTTCCAAAGAGGCTGCGCCATCCTCGCCAACGATTTGCTTCCTGACGCGCGCCTGAAAAAGAAACGGGCTGGTGCCACAAAAGTGGCTAGATGATAGATGATGATACATGATGTTTCTGATTCACCCAGTAATCCCAGTATCATCAAAGGAAGTTTAAAGTGCAAAACTTCCGTGTTACGGACTTTCAACAGCCATTACTACGACATACAACATACAACACTACTACTACTACTACTACTACTACTACTACTACTACTACTACTCCAGTCAGCTCTAGCTTTAGTTAGCTCTAACTCCAGTCATCAGCTCTTCAACATGCACTTTGGAAGGAAGTCTCGTACAAAATGCGTGTTCGAGAGATAGCGGACGCACGAAATGCTGTGTTTTTCAATACAAAGGGTGGTTCCGAACCTGGCAAGGCTAGCTCTGCGGCCTCGCGTCATGCTCGGATCATGGTCGGATCATGCTCGAATCGTCCTGAGCGTTGTGAAGCTGAGTTGACAGCAATGAGAAAGTCAAGCCTTGAAGCTTGTTTCACAACAAACCTCAGCAATACAGATAAGGACTTCCTATTTTGTCAAAATTTCTTTCGGCGCAAGAAGAACATGTTGACACAGGAGCAAGAAAAGATGGTTGATGCATGGACGGAGAAGATATGTGGCGATGGTGCGGAGGTGCGACCCGCGGTCGACGCAGAGTTGACCCGTGTGATATATAACTATACTTGAGCGCCGTGAAGCTGAGTTGACAGCAATGCCAAGTCAGGCCTTGAAGCATGTTTCGCGACAAACCTCAGGAATACAGATAATGATTAGAAATTTTGTCGACATTTCTTTGAACGCAAGAAGAATATGTTGACGCAGGAGCAAGAACAGATGCTCCCGGCATGGGCTTGTAAGATTTGCTGCGACGAACATGCGCAGGAGCCAAGTGTCGAGGCAAATGCCTTCCAACGCTTCTTGTCGACGGTACAAGGTCGGGCGCAAGACCTTGCGACCTTGCGCAAGCCTGACCTCAAAGCCATCTTGTTTTCGTGCGTGCGCCGGGCGGGTCCGGAGTTAAAGCTTTTTTGGGAACAGAACGCAGCCGAAGTGTCCGATCAGCAGCAAGAGCAAGTAGAGGATGCGACAGTCCCGATGCTGTGGCCTCGTGGCCCAGACGATCGTGCGGCGATGCGACCCGCGATTGTTAGGAGGTTGGCGCAGGTTGGGTCCAACACTTGGCTGCAGGCGAGGAGAATTTCTTGCCATAGGTGCAACTAGTGTGGAAAGCTTGTTTTCACGACATGCTTTAAAGACTGACGCGGAATTACGCTTCTGCTGCGACTTTCTCAAGCGTGTGTTCCCAAGACTCGAGGACGCAGAGCAGCAGCGAATCCGAAAGAAAATGAATGATGTCTTGGTGCAAGCTTGCGCCGTGCCTGTGAAAAGTAGCTACGAGGCCAAGCTACATGTTGAAGAAACCGTCTTGGGAGATGCCCTTCCACGCCCAAGACTGCCCAAGAGTTTGCGGCAGCTGTTTGGCAACAGCATGGACGCCGAGGCCCGGATTATGCCGGTTTTTCACCGTGCGCATGAGGTGGATGAATTCATGGTTTCTTTGCAGTTTCAAGACTGTGACTATTGTCATGAAGTGTGGTTTGGCAGTAGCAGGAAAAGGGAAGACTTGCCAGGTGGCTTCGAAAGTGAAGCTTACAAGAAACAATTTTTTTTTGCGCACGCTTGAGAGCCAATGGTTGGATTCTAGCCGCCCTATTTGTCAAAACTGCTTGCTGGAAGCTAAAAGGCGTGCCACGGAGGGCTACGCCAAGGAGCCTTTCCGCCTTGACTGCCGCCAACTTTGCAGACTGGTCCCACATTACCAGAAACAGATGCTTTGAGTTTTTTCGAAGAAGAGATTCTGTCGCCTATCCAGCACATAGTGCGTATCTTCACCTTGCACACAACAGGGCAATGTGAGCTTCGTGGACACGTGGGTAACCTGTTCCAAAATGGCCCACAGTATGTGCGCAACATTCCTGCGGCTATTGGCAACATGAAAATGTTGCTGATATGGCGTTGCCCGAAAGCCCGGAGCACTGACGCCCGGTGGGTATGTCGAGCT